CTTGCACATGCAATTGGTATTGTAGTTTTCCAACTATTTTTGATTTGACCTAAGTCAAGTTCAAGTCCCAAAAAAAACATAAAAAATAGTAAGCCTAAATTAGCAATCAATTGAAATGCTGGGAGACTTGATGGCAGCCATATTGTTTCAGACCAACCTCGAATATGACCTATAAAAAACAGAAAAATATTCATTGAGAAAAAAAAGAAACAATCTTTTGTATTCAAACCGAGAACGGAAGGACCAAAAAGAATTCCGGCAATAATTTGACCAATCACTTGTGGTTGTTGAATATATGAAAGTAACTTAGCAAGAATTTTACATACAACTAATGTAATAAAAACTTGCATTAAAAATGTTGCCAAAGGAAGTTTACGTGGATCTTCGAAAAGGACTACCATTATAATAAATTTTAGGGTAAACTATTTTCTCTACAAAAGACGAACAATATTTTGTTTTGATATAATAAAAAAAAACAATCGTTAGTAATATTTCTAAATTATTCAAAAAGAACATAAAGAGATCACACGTTATCTTGTATAGAATAAAAAGAAAATGTATACTCATATGAAATCATTCAATATGTATATTTGTTACGCATTCTATTACCTCTTAGTTGTACAGGTAGTTTGAGAGACAAGCAAACGGCAATTCAAGAAGAAAAAACGTGCAAACGATCACATGTATTTATCACATGCTATTTCGTGTGAGCCTACGGATGTAATTATATTTTTGATAAGCATCATATTCATGCAAATTAACAGTCTAACAGACGATCATCAAATCTAAAAATAGATTCTACTTATGGAACTGCACTTCATATGGATTTTTGCTATGTAGAAACTTTGATAAGAATTTTTATTCATAAAATAGAAGTATTTTGAGTTTTACCGACAATATCATCTGACTCTCATTCTAAAATAATTGATACAGTGTTGATTATTTACTGAGATGATATACAAAAAGTTGATTTGTTATGCTATAAAATCAATATAAATGATCTAATAAAAACTTTTGTCGTTCTCATCATATAATTAAGAATCTATTTTTTTAACAGTATTAATACTATCATTATCAAATTACAGATCATTTGGCTTATTTTGATATGATTTACATCGAGTTTTTGATTTTTTGAGATATCGTTAACAAGAAGAGTATCTATGTATCAACGATCATCTAGGTTTTTTCACGTTATTTTACATGAATTATATCCCGAAAACTTGCACCGGTACTCCCAAATCAGCTCTTCTTTGAAAAATCTCTGAAGATTTTTCTATAGAAAATTTATCTATTTTAGGAAATCCGTGAGAACTTATCGGAGATTGTATTAGGCAGAGTAGCCTGGGAGTTATTGTGCAATTCTCTGGTGACAAAAATAGTTTTTCGGTACTAGATCATGTGCTGTGTATGGCGATAGAAACATGGTATTTACAAAGGTACAATAGTTTTCTTGAAGTATGATGTAGTAGTTCCAATAGCCAGGTCGAGAAATACGGATCGCTTCCGACAAGAAAACATCGGAAAACACAGAAACATGGAAGCAGTATTCCCGCAGGAAAATGTTCGGATTTTTTCCGATGATTTCCGATCAGAATACTACTTTCATGTTCCCGCGATATTCGATATTTTTCTGCCGGATACGTGACTTTTTCCGCATATTTCCTACCGGTTCCAGTGAAATTCGATTATTTCCGGAGGCCCGAATCATCGACATGCGTAGGAACTCAGTGTTGTGAAGGTTATCTTCAACATGGACGATTGACTGATAATTAATTTGACAAAATCTCTATGTCGAAACTTGATCGGTCAAATATTAATTCTGATGATTTCCAAGAATTTGTGTTGGATGTCCACAATATCATATTTAATCAGAAGAATTTGGATTTCGATAATCCAACGCGTTTAAATGACGTAATATATCGAACCATAATCGGCTTGATGAAAGGTAATTGATCACGTAAGCGAAATTCTATAATGCATCAATTGCTTTTAATTCAACTGAACTATGTTTTCTGCAAGTAAACATCTTCTGATGATTCTATTACTTGGATTGTTCAATTACAAATGGAAATTGAGAGTCGAAAATGGAATCTGATAAGACAACATAGGGACAATGATTATTCGACTCTTTTTATTTTATTGGTAACTTTATGTCAGAGAAACAAGAAAAAGGCATTTTTTAGTTGAATATATAGGGTGTCCCAAAAGTCCACGAGAATAGTAAATTCGTAGAATTCCACTACTTATCAAACTTAATCAACCAATTTTTTTTCAGATGATAGATATCAGTGTCAAGTTTTTGTCTGTACGAACAAACTTCACAGATACTGTTTAAAGTTATAACTTTCGACTAAAACACTAAACCCAGTGGTTTTTCGACCCATTTCACAGTGTTTCTCTTTCAATATCTTAATTTGTTGCGTTTTTTGTGACTTTTATATCGGTCACATCTTAGACTATCGTTTATATGCATTTATTGTGATATATCAGTGCAAAATAACGCGTTTTTGGCGACTAATGACATTGTTTAAACAGTTGAAATAATTTCCGTTGTCACGCCTCTTAATGATCAACAAACGTTCCATCTAAACGATGAAGCACCAACAATTTAGAATTAAAATCTCTTCCCATTGATAAACTGATCGATTATATTCAAATTATTATTAGATTAATGTTAAATTGACATATGCTTATAGTTTATACTTTGAAAACAGTACAGAGAATTTCTCTCTCATCAGTTCGTTTCTTTTTATGTTATGAGTAAGTTTACATTTTACTATTTACTTGTTGGTATTTTTTTCTTTTTGTTTTTTTCAATAATGGAAAAAAAGATATAATACGTAGGTTTAATCAAACAGCATTAACGTCTTGTCATTCCATTCCACTATTAGAAAAAACAAAAAGAAAAAAATACCAACAAGTAAATAGTAAAATGTAAACTTACTCTTAACATAAAAAGAAACGAACTGATGAGAGAGAAATTCTCTGTACTGTTTTCAGAGTATAAACTATAAACATATGTCAATTTAACATTAATCTAATAATAATTTGAATATAATCGATCAGTTTATCAACGAGAAGAAAACTGAATTATTTACATTCATGTTTCAAATAAGTGACGGATAAGATAGAGTGATGAATAGATTTAAAAGACTACGACTAACACAGGAATTGATGAAAAGGTAAACCACGGACTATCTAACCAGTTTCTAATATAAGGAAAACTACAATCGGAACTACTATGGTAGACAGATGTTCTTTTCAAGTATCATTAATAAATTTAACTTCATTTCGATCAAATTCTAAAGTATCAAAGTTCGGAGATATGATATAACTAGAAATGTCATCAATGCACTACGAAATCTCATAATTATAGTGTGTATTAGGTCGGTTACGAAATTGATTAAGCCACACCTATGCATCAGAATGTTATCTGTTTTTTCCTGTGGTGATGATATTTCTTTTAAAGCTCATTCATATTTCGATGACTTAAGATTCTCTTTTCATCGAGTAGAAAACTCAACTGTTTCAAACGTCTCATATGTCACACGTACTCGTGATGAACATTCTATATAAAACATTTCAAGTGAGGAATATTTAATGGACTTTGCTATGTTTATCGTCTGCGAGTGACTCTTCTAATTGTATTATCATCGGTATCGTACATATTATGTCTAAGTCAACACTAACCTAGTGAATATTGAAGTATTTTCCACAGAAACTCACTATTAATAGCAATGTAGCAAGTGCCCTATTCTTTTTCTCATTCTGAGTGATTTCCGCAGAAAAGAACTTATCTAATTCGAACATATTCAGTCTTACACAAAAGAAGCATGTGCCATTACACATAGTGAATTTAACATTAATTTTAAGTATACGTTAGAAATAAAATGGCCTACTCAGTTAGGCAAGTACTCTGTGAACGAAACAGAACACAAATGAATTCCAAATGAGAAGAACAGGCGAATAATCGGACGAGAGAGTGATAAAAGAATGACCCCTTTTTTCCTTTCTCTGTGAACTGGACGGAAAGAAAAGACAGAATGGAAAAAATTTCTTGAAAATGCGGATTGATGATAACTCTGTTTCTATGTGACGATGATAACTAGATGAAATATAAAATAATCAAGTTTTGAAACTTTTACTGAAACAGCTAGACTCTATGTCATTTTTTAATTAAAACCTATATGAGAACAGGATAACTTGTTTATTTTGGTTGAACATGATTGTTGCTCATACGTACTTGTACTTTTAAAAGAGAAATAGAGAAGATTATGGTTATCATATAATCCAAGGAGGAAGGAAGCGTTTATGTTGTTAGTATGATATATTAACATGTAGTAACATTAATGATGATTTCCTCCTTCCATTTAGTTTTTGAACGTTAACAATATTTGTCTGCACTTATTATAATTCACAATATACAACTGAGCTAGAATTAATCTTAAATGTGCAGTAAAATAAACCAATATTGGTTAAGATGATGTTATAATATTCATTGTACAAATCAATATAACGTTAATTGTCCACACGCTGATTGTTAAAGATATTCAGTATGAGATGTGCTGCACGCCTATTTCTGTTAAGCAAATCAGTTTATGGCAGTTACTCCGTAGCAAATCAAAGATAAACTTTATTACATTCTCATTAGATATTAACACCGAACAATATTTGTCTTTAACGATTTTCAATTAAGAGTGGAATATTGCTGAGTAGATATACTGACAATACATCAATAAAGAATATGTAAACTCACTAGGCGGAATATTTTCAGTAAGATCGTTATACTGCTATCGATTTTGACTTCGACTTAATGGCAATAAAAAAGTTTTCTTGGTTTAAAATTCCTACTCACTAATCATAAATATCGAACCTGATCTTTTGCTGTTTATTTGTAAAAGATACATATTCTAACCATCAGTTGCCTGTTACTAATAGACAACGAGCCGTAAAACTTACTACTTACTAGAAAGTAAGCAGACTGATTACTCACTATGTTGTGTTACATGATTTAGATACATTCAACCAGGTATAGCTGTCACCGAATAGTTAAATTAAAATTTACTACTCATTAGTAACAGATTAGTAGCGCAGACTATCACCTACTAACCACTGGTTAGTGGCGATGCACATTATTTACTAACAGCATAATAATAAAATTTTTGTAGTTTTGATTTTTTTTGTTAATCGAAGCAAAACGGAAAAATACTGTCAAAACGTTTTTTTTTCGAAAAAAATGCGAAATTGGGGCGTTTTTAATGGTTTTGTCAAATTTAGTTGAAAATAAACTGTAAAAACGATGTAAAAGTGAAAAATTCAGTAGTAAACGCGTTTAAACGAGTTAAAACGGTGTAAACGCTTTTTTAACGCGTTAAAACGCCTTTCTGGCCGTTTATTGTCT